ATGAGGTGAACTCCTTCATCTGACCATCAAGCTGACCGACTCTAGAGTCTGAGCTTGATCCCTTGCCGACACCAGAACTACCATCTGGTCTACCATGTAGCGTCACCATACTCGACAATATACCGTAACAATCATCAGAATATTCATCATAAATTGAGGGATCACACACACTACAAGTTCCATGGGTTCATCTCAGCCTTCCTTGAATCGAATACGGATCCTCTGCTTTCAGTAGTACGGGCCCATACTACCTTCCACATCTATCTGTACTTTCCTCAAGAACTGCCTTTACTCCACCAAGTCCCTTTCACTACTACTACTTTCCGCGCTAATCTCATCCTAGGCTTGCCCTAGGATAATCTCAGTCCCACACTCCGCCATCAGCTACATAAGAAGTCCCTGCTACCTTTCCCTAACTAGCTCGTGAATACCATTACATATTACTAAGACCAGATAATTCTTCGAATGAGAGTTCACTCCCTACAACGGTTAGACTCAGACGAGAGCTGCGAAATAGGGCTAAACCTAACATTCTGAAATTATTTAGTCCTCGTAATATGTAACTTAACGTATCCGTTTACTATTTAATTAAAGATAACTAGAACTCCTAAAAGCACAAAGCAAGCAACATTCGAGCATTGAGTAACCAAAACCAAGCATGTCTTAATCAGGCCATCATATCACTGACTAATCAGTACTAGCATGCAGTTCAATAAGGACATACAGTAGGCATATAAGGCATCCTACCTAGATCCTTAGCCCTAATCAAGCATGCAGTTCTCATACACATACAACAGGCATACAAGGCATCCTTCCTATATCCTTAGCCCTCATCTAGCATGAAGTTCTCATAATCATATCATATCATAACAAACATGTATGGGTAATTTGGAAGAACTTACTTGAGCTCGGCTGAATGCGTGCACCACACCCTTTTCTATTTTTGGAAATCTATTTTTTTAATGATTTTCTTTTGAAAAATTTCATACCAAGTCCTCAATTTGAGTTCAGACACACCCGAAAGTATACCCGAATCCCTTAAACCAAGGCTCTGATACCAACTTGTAACATTCCAAAAAATCATGACCAAAAATTTCATTTTTAAATATTAAATAAAACCATAGTTATCAAAATCGTCTCATCAAAACATAAGTAATAGTATCTCATATCAAAACATTTGTCAAATATATCAGAGTGAACATCCCAGGCTAAAGTATCATGGTGTGTGCAATGCAATCATCCCGATCTCTTCCCTTGCTACCGGAAGTACCTGAAACCAAAACTGAAAACTGTAAGCATGAAGCTTAGTGAGTCTCCCCAAACTACCACATACCATACACATAATCACATAATCTCATATAAACATATCATGGGCCCCACCCCTTCATCGGGCCCCGCCCGACATCGGACAGTGTCCGGCTTCGGGCCCTGCCCGGCATCGGACAGTGTCCGGCATCGGGCCCCGTCCGGCATCGTGCAATGTCCGACATCGGGCCCCGCCAGACATCGGACCGAAATCCGGAAATATACAATGCAGACACATGCAAGAATCACGAAGACATCAAGCATACACATGCAAGGATCTAAATCCGGAAACATATAGACCTACATCGGGAACTGCCCGGCATCGGATCGAAATATGGAACATATAAACCTACATCGGGTACTCCCTGTCATCAGACCTTAGTCCGGAACATACTAACGTACATATATGGGCCGACATTGGTGCCTTCGACCCGTTCATACAGGAGGAAACTCACCTCGCACTGCTGAAGTCCCGCTGACAAATCTCTGGCTGCTGACTGATAGACCCCCGAACTGTCAACATCAAAACAAAACCCAAATAACCATTTGGGTTTAAATGCATAACCATAAATCCACACTTGGGGTTAAAGGACCATTTTACCCCTATCCTAGCTTGGTCCAAGACCAAGGCCCAAATTCACACTCTAAAGTCCCAAAAAGCCAAATAATGAACCAAGGCCCAATTATGGCCCAATTTTCCAAAATTGGGCCCAAACCCCTCACATGGGTCTTACCCTGAAGACCATCCAAATATTCTAGTCCATATACTTGTTCTTGGATGGGCCATAAATAGCTCAATCACCAAAGCCCAACAGAAGTCCCAAGTTGAAGCCTAAACATAATTAGGGTTTTCACATAAAATGTTGATTATGGTTAATTAAAACACTTAACCCATTACGGGCCTAATCCATTAAGTCCATCATTCTACTAGGTCAATCATGCTGTGTGGTCGGGCGTAATTCGTAATTCAATTCCAATGGTACAAAATGCGGGTCCCGACACTCCAAAACTAACATATCCAAAATTAGGGTTTTCTAAATCCTAATTAGGGTTTCCAACCCAATCGCGTGCCAATTAGTCAAATGGTTAGGCTTTAAGATCAATTAGGGTTTCATTAGGTCAACTAGCGTTTCATTAGGTTGGGCACCACTCACTGCCACTACCTCGTGGTGGTGGTTATGGTTCTAGTCCAAATCATGTCTAAGCATCCCAAAAAGCAACCCAATCACATACAAATACACACCGCCACCCAAGACGGCGACTGGTGGCGGCAGAAGGGGACAGCTACCACCTCACGGTGGTGGTGGTGGTGAGTTTTCCGACCAAAAATCGCATATACAACATCATACCTATAAAGACCCATAAAATACACTCTCATACACATAAAAACACATAGCCACCCCTCACGGTGGCTGGTGACGACAGAAAAGAAAAAGGTGGCGACAACCACCATGGTGGTTTTCCATGCTTTCCGGCCAACAGAAGAACACATATATACACGATTAACGACAGCAGCACTCGACTACACATGCAAAAAAAATGGACGCAACCACCCACCTGGCGGTAGCATCGATCGGAGGACGACAACGGCGGAACAACAGGCGACGGAAGCGCTAACCGTCGGCGTTAGCGGTGGTTTCGTCTTCAACCGTTGTGGCGCAGCGACGACAGCATCCCCGGTCATTCATGGCCCAAACATTGACGCTCCTTGCTCCGCCTTCGGTCTCCCGTGGGTCTCCCGGCTGCTTGCTACGTTCCCAGCAGTAGGATGGTCACGGTGGTTGGCTTCGGTGGTTTACGACCTCAACAGCAGTGGTGGCGGCGCCGGAAATCGTAGAAATGAGGGTGGCGGCTGGAGGTGAAGGGAGGTATAAGGATGGTGGCGACTGATGTTGAAGTACGTTTAAGGTTACCTGAATGACGGGTTATAAATCTCGTCCACATTCAAACCTTTAGCCATAATTACACTTCGAGCCCTTCCCCCCCTGAATTCCTTTCAACTTAGATCCGTAGTTTACCAAACAACCCTCAACTTTCAGAATCCTTTGCAAAACCAATCCGGAAATTACTTTTTAACCCCCAAAATCTCAATTATGACATAATCATCCCTTCCTTCTTTAATCATTACCATCTACATCCCCATTTTACTCTTTAGCCCTTGCTTCCCACAATTTATTAGAATTCAAGTCCAAATATTACAATAAAGATCCCAATTTCCAGAAATTATGTCATTTAGCTCCTTATGAATAACACTGGTAACTTATTATGAATTTAGGGCTATTATTCGTTTATTAATTTTATCCATTTATTTATTTAGTAAATAGGATGTTACACAGTATAAGCAGAGAACAAACACACTCACACCACCAAGTTGCCACCCTCCCACCCCGAAGCCCAAAATAACATGTTTTCAACCAGATAGTTCCTAAATTGTGTCTACCCAACCAAAGGAAAACACACACCAAACTACAACACATCTGCAAGAAAACATAACACCAACAACACCAAAAAGATTCTAATTCCCCAGTTTTAACCACCCCCACCCAAGCACCCCATCTTTAGTGGACCGCGAATGAAAACACACACCAGTTAGCCCAATTCAGTTGTATTTCTTACCCCCTATTTTTTTATTCCAAAAGAACGATTGTCTTTTGATCTCATCTAACAGTCAACATGGTGCATGAACCTTGCCCTTGTAAAATAGATAATTCAGAAGGCAAAATAAGCGTTCTTTTTACCATATCTTTATAAGGCCTTTAATTTCAATTTATTTATGATGCCTCTGTCTTATCCAATTTTCTTTGTTGGTCTTTTTAGAACAAAGCTAACATACACCCTTACCTTAATCCTGCTACATATTCTATAGACTTTCAGTGAAAGAAAACTTACATCACACAAGCCTCAACAAGTAACAAAATAGTTTATTTGGTCATGCAACAATTTTACAGTTTTGTCATGACCATGCGGTTTTATGTCAATTGTTGTAACTAATATATTTAAGCGAACTCAATTCTGTCTATATTTCAGAATCCCGGAGCTTCTAAAATCATTATGCCACCAACATCAAACTCTTGAAAGCTTTACAATTCCACTGGAGGAGATTCTTTTGGCCACTCAAAACTTTAGGGAGGAAAGATATATTGGAGGTGATGGATCTGGTGAGGTCTACAGAGGATAACTCTGGTCAAACCTTAATAAGAAAAGTGAGCGTGCAGAGGACGAGTTCCACAATGAGCTTAGGATGGTTTCCAATTTCCACCATGAAAAACATCATTGGTTTCATTGGTTATTGTGATGAAGATAAAGAAAATATTATAGTTTATGATTATGCTATGAATGGAAGCGTTGATCAACATCTCCATGGGCCCAAACCCGATTAGAGGCATCACCTAACATGGGCACAACGTCTGAAGATCTGCATAGGGGCAGCAAGAGGACTCGAGTAACTTCATTCAGGTCTTGAGGAGGACAATAGAGTAATTCATAGAGACATAAAGTGTTCAAATATACTTTTAGACGATGATTACAAAGCAAAATTTAGTGATTTTGCTTTGTCAATATTAGTAAACCAAAATCAGCCAGATGCCTATGACCGTGTTGAACGTACCTCATACTACATAGATCCTATTTACTATGAAAGTGACCTCACCAATACAAAATCTGACGTGTATTCATTTGGTGTCGTACTCTTAGAAATGGTGAGTGGGATGAAAGCTAATAATCGAAGGAGCATTGGTACTGATGATGGGCCAAAAATGACTCTTGTAAATTTGGTTCGATGCCATTATGATGATGGACTCGACGTCTTAATTGATCCTTTTATATACGATCAAGTTAATAGTCTGTGTTTCCGTATATTTATGAGGATTGTGTTTCGGTGCATTAGTTTAAAGTTAGAGGATAGCCCTACAATGAAGAGGATCATAAAGAGGATTGAGGAAGCACAAGATATACAAGTAAGTTTTATCATTTTATTATTTCAAGGGAATCCAGTTTCATAAACAACAACTAAAATTATGGAAATCCATTTTCTCAGTTGACTTCAAAGTTTTTATATAATAAACAATGATTTTTGTAATCTTTTTTCTATATATTTAGCAGACATTAAAATAGTAGTTTAACTTTGAAGGACCCATGCATGGTGACACAACTCACATGGCGCCTCTAATATAATTTGATTTGTTTAAATTCACAGAATCAACACAAAGTAGCATCTACCATAGCCACACAAAGCCCACAACGTCAAAACCTTGAAAGTTATCGAATTTCACTAAAGGAGATCAACTTGGCCATAGAAGACTTTAGTCAACAAACTCCTATTGGAGATGGTGGATATGGTAAAGTCTACAAAGCACGAATCTCCGAATGTTGGGGAAATTGCATAGTTGCCATCAATGCCTTGATCCAAAAGGTCACCAAGGAAAGTTGGAGTTTAGTAATGAGGTTAAGTTGCTTTCTTGCTTTCACCATCAAAACATCATCCCTTTCGTGGGTTACTGTGATGAAGACGATCAAATGATTATCGTTTCTGAATACGCAGTCAATGGGAGCCTTGATCATCATCTCAAAGACCCGAGTAAGAAGAGTCGCCTGACATGGTCACAACACCTTCACATTTGTTAGGGGCAGCAAAAGGACTTGACTACCTTCACTCGGGTTTAGGGAAGGACAACATGGTAATACACCGAGACTTGAAAAGCAGAAATATATTATTAGATGAAAATCTTGAAGCCAAAATTTGTGATTTTGGTTTGTCAAAAGGAGGCAACAAAAACCAGAAAGATACCCAATACTATACAAAAGTTGCGGGTACCAATTTTTATCTGGATCCCCTTTATCGAGAAACCAATGCCCTCAATAGTCTGACGTGTATTCATTTGGTGTCGTGTTATATGAAATGTTGACTGGAATGCTAGCTTATGGACCAAAACCCCTTATAAGGCTGGTCCGACGCTACTATATGAAGGGTCTCGAGAAATTAATTGATCACGATATAAAAGATCAAATTAATGACAGTTCTTTTTTTGCTTTTAAAGAACTTGCATGGCGATGTATAAGCTTAACCTTAGGGGAACGCCCTACAATGGAAACAATCATCGAGGGAATTGAAGATGCAATGGAACTTCAAGTAAGTACGTTTCTTTAACAATCATATAGCAACTATAAGTTTATCTAAGGAAGGTAAGATGCTAATGTCAATTTTAAACAATTTCAAAAAGTTTTGAACCCTCCAAACAAAATTTATAAGGATAAATTCAAATACTTTAATTTATAAAATAAAAATACAACATTGGTTCAAGAATAAAAAAAAATACTTTCAAGCAACAATTAAAAAAGACCTAAAAATATGTAAAATGCAAAATAGTAAAAGTATATGAGATATAGATGATTGAACACAAGTATTTACTGGATTCAACGGTACTGAAAGCTTAATCCACATCGATCGATAGCCCTATTCGTCTCCACCGGTTACACCACCCATGGTTGATCTACTAAAACCAATAGTTTAAGACTTTTAAATGCTCTTAGAAACCTTGTACAAAGTTGGCCTATCTAGTACTCTTAAATTCTTTCCAAGAGGAGAATGGATCTAACTAACAATAAAACTAAGAAACTTAAACAATATGATAATCTTGAATGGAGTCACATCAAACGAAGATATAGATTGAAGCAAGAAAGTGGAGATTTTATAATTGAAAATATGGTGATTAATTGATCTTGATAAGCTTTAAATACATTTGAGAACATTTACGTAAATTGTCTCATAAAAATATAATGGTTTTTTGTGTGTTGCCTCAAAATCATAGCTTCAAAACAATGATGCTTTATGCATAAAAAAAGCTCGACATACTTGCTTCAAATTTCAGAATTCCAAATAAATGCATTTTCTAATAAAAAACCGCAAATACGATACACATGATAGAGTACGGTTTTGTATTGTGACCGTACTCTAATATGATTTTATATTTTTTTTGTCCGCCTGCCTTTTTATGAAATAAATGAGCGCCAAGTGTGCTCTACTTTTTATTTATTTATTTATTTTACCACCAGAACACTCATGTTTTCATTTTCACGACTTCAACACTTCTCTCAGCGTTCACTCATCATCTCCTCACCATGACCACGCCACTATCATCATCTTCGGTCCAAGGACGACTCCTCCGATTCACTTGCTAGTTTTGTCAAGAATGTACGAATGTTCCTGGATATTTCATCTCCTTTTCAATTTGTTCCTCTATCGATTTTTTTTTTTTTTTTTGAGATTTTCTACTATTTCATCTCCTTTCCAAATCTGTATTGTGAATCGTTCTCCGATATGACTATATTCTTTCATTTCTCTCCTATTTTGTCAAAAAAAAAAATTGTGGTTTGAAAATTGCACATAAAGTGTTTGTTGTAATGCCTGATTGAGATAATTCATATTATTTTACCTAAATTCAGAATTTGATCCTTACCTATTCAATCATGATCAACCGCATGGATTTAAGAAGCCTTTAAAATTCAAATTAAGCGATGGAGTATATCAATTATAAAAGAACAATATCTTCTAAAGAGGTAATTTTTCTGACGATTGTTCATGTTCTTTTTATTTCCCTTTTTGTTTTCTGATTCAATTAGGTTGAGGTGACCATTTCTAGTGCAATCAACAAACCTTGATGATTTTTCAAGTTAATTTTGCAAATATATGATTGTTTAGTAGTTTATTATTCTCAAATCCTTCCATTGTTGTCCATCTTTACATTTAAAGGTGATTATGTTTTAGCATCCATGCAAACTTGCTCTCTAAACATGACTATTAATATGATATGTAGACACTGTTGTTTCCCTCTTCTTTGTACATGTTTAGTTTAAAGTTAGCCTTTCCTGCAAAGTTCTATTACTTTTTAGGAGATTGGAGGTAATCATGCTCAGAGTTGGGTTTTCTACTAATGGATTTGCCACCACAACTACTATGACGAAACTGCATCTCATATGGGTTTCGTTACGAAAGCATATTGAAGTATACAGATACCCTGCTTGGTAAATCTATCACCAAACTCTTTCATCTTAACTTTCACCTTATTATTATCACTTTCTTTTCATTTGAAGTTTTCTTTACGTTGTATGGCATGATGTGATTGAAATTGAGACTTGGGTTCAAGGTGATGGAACTATGGAAGAATAGGGATTAGGAGTGATTGGATTCTCAAAGATTATTCCAATGGTGAGATCATTGGAAGGGCTACAAGGTGTATGTTTTTTAAATTTATTTTCTTCTCTACCTCCTTCGTTCTTTTAGCTAAATGATTAAGTCTGCAGGAAATGGGTGATGATGAATGAGGATACTAGAAGAATGCAAAAAGTCATTGATGATGTCAAAGAAGAGTACTTAGTTTTTTGCCCCAGGACACTCACGTATAGCCGCCTTCATTTTTTATATTATTTCAGTTAACAACTATAATAATGTTGTTACAGTTTTGAGTTTTGCTTCCACTCCATATTAGCATTTCTTGTAGAGAACAGTAATAGTCTGAAGAAAATAACAAAACTTAAAGATCCTGCTGAATATTCAAGACTAGGACTAGTGGTAAGTTATAAGCTCTATTCTTGTGGTGAATATATATATATATATATATATATATATATATATATATATATACAACCGACACTAGTACAAAAATGACCTATGGACACACCATAAAAGTGTGACCATATGCTTACAGTGACATTTTATTTTTTCACTAAAAGTGTGACGGAAGGTGGCGCTATCGTATAGGTCTTATGGTCACTTTAAAATGTAGTGTCCATATGATATGAAAAAGTATGGCCGTATTATAAAAGTATGGCTATTGGGTAGGGAATTTTGTTGCTAAAATCAATCATTTTATCCAATATTGTGGCGTTAAACTTTCATTAGACACATTTATTTAGTAATTGTAGTGACTATATATCACCAACTTGCGACATGCATGTTGTTTCAGTATGGCATTTTACTAATAAATAGTCACATAGTTTAAAGTTTATTAAGACTATTGGATATCTTTTGTAGACATGTAATTACGGTGCACATGACCATGTTCGTTAAATGGTCACATGTAATTCATTTCATAAGTGGCGATTTGATAATAATTAGTCACAAAAAGAAGCAATTTTGGTGACTATTGCATATTGTATAGAGACACACAATTAAGTGAAACAAGATCATAAGTATTATAAAGACACATTTTATTAAAATTACGGATTTAATATTAGTTTACGATCATATTTGTATTATTTTTCATGACCGATGTTATCATTCAGACATATAAAACATTGTAACTATGATTATTTTATATCATTTTGACATAAAGAATCAATTACAAAATAATTGTAACTGATTTATAGAAACAAAGTCGTTGCAAGTATGACCAAGATTCCAATTATTACAATAAAAAGTGGTTATTAGTATATCATATTTTATCATTTAGACACGAAAACATTGTTGATTGTGACTATTGTTTGTATTACAATCATAGAAAGTAATTTAAACTGTAGCCATTAGTGTTCTGTCAACACACACAATATAGATGAAACGAGAAAAAGAAATCGATATTATTAATAATTGAAATGCAAATCCATACATAAGATTCCTAATTAAAATATCAAAAAAAAAAACTTATACTAATAAAAAGTTGTAAAGAAAGCAATAACAATCATACACCAAAAAATAGATATAACTACACTTTCATTTTGTTGGTATTGTTCCTTGTCTTCTTGACAAGGCTATCACTCAATATAAAAGTTGTTTTGCGCTTCTTTGAGTTTTAAAGTTCATTGTCTTGAGGTGATTTCATATTTGGTACCTATACCAACAACATTGAAACAAACTTGAGTAAATAAAAAACTTAATAGAATAGTTTATGAAAGAAAAAAAAAGTGTAATGCACATGCAAGTTAACAGAAATAAACAAACCTTTGAATGTTTCACAAGTTATTTTAGCAATGAGACAAAAATTTTATATGCCTACTCAAATGTTTTTATTTCTTTAATTTCATGGGTATAAATGAATCTTTTTTTTTACCATTTCATCAATGGACACTTTATAGCAGTCACCTTGTTGAGGAACTTCATGAAAGAATTATCTTTCCTACAAATATAAATATGAAAATTGTTGAATTAAAATACTTGAAACATCGACATTCATTATATCGTTACCAGAGTGCAGTAGATAAATCATCGGACATTATGTTCATGATAAAGGCTAATTTGGGAGAAGATGTCAAATATCAGAACGAGCAGGGCCAGTCTGTAGGTCTACCATGCCCTCGGCAAAGAGGCTATATAATGCCCCTACTTTGTAGGAAAAAATATACACAACCTATATAAAACATAGCAAATAATGTAATAATTAATACATAAATAAATCAAAGTTAGTTGATATTTCTTGCATTAAGCCATTCACAACATACTCATTGTTCTTGGAGACATTCTTAAAATTTTCTAGAGATCGATTGTCGAATGCAAGAATAACCTTGAAATTTTTGGACAAACCATACCTTCAATCTCATACACGAAACATAAAATAGCCACCTTTTACTCACAAACACTTCTACAAAAATGCAAATACATCAATTATATAATACTGCCAAAAATTAAATCAACTTGATAAATATTGGAGATCAAAATCTAAA